ATTTGGATTTGTGTTGCAGATATTTGCCATCCAGTTGCTGTCTCATTTGTGTATCCAGTACGCCTTACCCAAGTCGCTCAGTGTGGCTCGCTTAGCTGTCAACGTCATGGGGACTCTGCTGACAGGTGTGTGGCCAGCCAGTGTCGATGATGAAACTTCCAACATAAAAGAGTTAGTGACACTGATTTCTGTGTTACTGATAGTTTCATTTATGCCATTTCTGAAAACTTTTCTATCACAAATGTAATTTATAGTGTAAAGATGAATAGGTAGGCAAATTGTATCTTTCATTTTGTGAATGACTATGTATAGATTTATAATAAATAATAAGCTCCCCGTACTGTAGAATGGAAATTGAATCTACTTTCTGAATGTAATTATATCAATAGAACACAATTACAAATGCTCAGAATTTTAGGAAAATGTAATCATATGTATAAATAAGATCAATATATTCATTGTTTCCTGAAGTTCTAAAACATACTTTAACATTTTAACCACCTTCTGGTTTGTAGAGGAAAATAGTATGAAAATAAACTACTTTAAAATGTATGAACTATAATTAAATTTTTTGAAGTAATGGTTTAGTGAATTTCATATTTTCTCAGGGCTCCCGTAATACCCTGTTTATTTTTCTTTCCATTGAATTCATCTCATGTTATAATTTATTTGTAGTGGTTAAGAGCTTAAACTGCTCGAGTTCAATCCCATCCTTACCCCTGTCTATGTGGCCTTGAACAAATTTATTGGCCTTGAACAATTTATTTGGCCTTGAACAAAACACTCTGTGTTTTATTTACTGGGTTGTGAGCTCCCTAAAGGCTGGGTCTGGCCGCACCCTAGAAAACTGAGTATTCTCAGCATGGAGCCTGGTTCTCAGTGTGTTGTATACTATAGGCCATGGATGTTGAATGTACACCTGTAAAGACAAAAATTCTCTTTCATTCTTTCCAACAGTTTTAACACAGGCTAAGCGATACGCTTTTTTCATGCCAACTCTGCCAAGTTTGGTTTCTTTTTGTCGAGCATTTCCCCCACTGTACGAGGATATCATGTCTTTGCTGATCCAAATAGGGCAAGTCTGTGCCTCCGATGTTGCCACCCAGACAAGAGACATTGATCCAATCATCACACGTAAGTACTAACTTATTTTCAGACTTGTTTTAATATCTCAAACACACAGACAAACCAAAATTCTTTTTAGATTTCTTGTCTTGATTAACTTTTGTCTTTATGTTTTTAGGTCTTCAACAAATAAAGGAGAAACCAAGTAGATGGTCTGGAGTCTGCAAAGATCCATCTTATAAAAATGGATCCCGGGACATTGGAAGCATGGATCCTGATGTACAGCTCTGTCATTGTATTGAAAGCACAATAATTGAAATAATAAACATGAGTGTTAGTGGAATTTAAAAAAAAACTTAAAAAAAAATGAAGCTGTTGGTTGCATATACTCAATATGAATCTGTATCTCATAACAACTCTAAACTGAATGGGAACAGTATCATCTTTGAATCTCTCAAATGATTCGGTTCAACATGAATACGATTTAGAACTCTCCTGAGAATTATGCTTGTTTGTATTTGATTGGCAGTTCTTTGGATCTCCTTTGCTGGTAGGTTTATATTGTACCAGCTGAGGGGTTTTTTTTTTCCCTATTGGGTTCACATTGAAGAAACTCATTACTGGAAAGTGAATTTGTCCTTATATTTAGCTTTTGAAGTGAAGAGAAACTGCCATGGTTTTAATTTAATTTCTTAAAAAATGAGTTTGTGGGTAGCCTTAGTGTTTTTGTTTGTTTGTTTGTTTTTACCTGTGTGAGCTAGTAACAGAGTGTGACAATGATGCAATGATGAGGAGAAAAAGGGAGAATTCAGGAAAAATTAGGAATTTAAATACCCGAATAGAAATTTCTAAAGCTTGCAATGCAAGTAATAGTAATGCAGGATAGAATGCCGGTTCTCAAGAAGCAGCATTGAGAAGGCTTTCAAAGAGGCAAATAGCTTTTTGTAAATGATTTCCATAGAATTACAGATAAGGATTTTAAGATTTTTACATATTTGCTTCAATTTTTACTAATATGTAAAGCCATATGTTTAAAGAGATACTTGAATACTTTGGGATTTTACGATACTGGCTTAAAAATGTGTACAGAAACATCTTTGTGCAGAGAAGAACCTGATAGGAGGGTCTCATTTAGTTTTTTTAAAATTTATTTTTATAATGCTTTACTAACTTATCTAATGGTCAGAAATACATTGGTACCTATTTAAATTTTAGAGTAAGAAAACCCACTGGATTAAAGAGCTCTTGGTATGCCATCAAGATTACAATTCACATCATAATTTTAGAAGATCTTTGAGTAAGAAAATATATAGTGTTTTGTCCTCAGGAAAAAAAAACAGGGAAATACCATGTTGCTGAAGGATTTTGCAGTCCTCTGTTAGTAACTTCCATTGATTATTAGGTAGATGCATTCAGGTAGTCCGCAATACTCATTTTTTCCTTTAGTTAAGTATCCACTGTAAAAGGTACTTCTTTTTGCTTTCTGAGATACACCTGAATGACAGACAATGCCCCCAACCCTGCCTTCTGCCCCCACTTGAAACAGACCTCTTCACTTGTAAAAGAAATTAGGCAGGCTTATAAGAAAGCATGGGTTTTAAGAAATTAAACTTCAGCCTTTTTACTAGCTAATAGTTACATCTCATTTTCTTCCTTTGTAAAATGGGATTACTACTGGCCCTACCTCATAAGGGTATTATATGAGAACTAATTTGTAGCTGTTTCAAATCATGAAGTGCACAGTGTCATAGATGGTAGATCCTTAATGTTCAATTAAGTACTTTTTGTGAAAAATAAAAGCATTTAAGAAATACCATAAGAATTTTCATATTTTTAAACAAGGCGATTTTGTAGTCTTTTAAGATTAAAAACACCTGCTTCTGTTTTGTTTTTAAATTGAGGCTTTGGAATATTTTGTGTAAGTGACCTCTAGGAATTCAGAAAAGGTGAAATATGTTTTCTAATTAAATGCAGCGCACATTCCTGGGTCAATTTTCAAAGACTGGTCAACACCTGCTGTGTTAAAATAATATGTACTGTTTTCCTTCAGATTTGTTGATGATGTAAGTAAAATGTGTAAATATATTAGTAAATGTTAATATTCATGTATTTTAAGTTAAGGTTATAAAAGTTGTCACAATGTGATTTTTTTTATTCAAGTGAAAACAGATGTGTGCGGCTATTTTGAATATTGGTTTATAAACATTCATATTCTCTATCAAATGAACTTGTAGTTTTTTGTTTCATTTCAAGGGACTGGAATCCAGGTCTGTCTGGGTCCGGAGCCTAGGTGGATCCGTTTCTTTTATGCTCACACGTCAAATGGCAACACCAGGCTAGAGGCAGGTGAGAGACTTAGGAATTTGGGAGAGAAAAATCAGAATAGTTACCTTGGAGCAGTTACTTAAAAGATTTGATATTTTAAAAATCTGTAAAAGCAGAATAACAATTTCAAGGTATTTTTAGGGATTTATTATTAGATATTATCCTTTATTCCATTGTCTTAACAGTAAATTACAGCTTTTTTAAAAAGATTTTATTTATTTATTTCTAGACCGAGGGTAAGGGAAAGAGAAAGAGAGAGAGGGAAACATCAATGTGTGGTTGCCTCTCACATACCCTCTACTGGGGACCTGGCCCACAACCCAGGCATGTGCCCTGACTGGGAATTGAACTGGTGACGACCCTTTGGTTCACAGACAGGTGCTCAAGCCACTGAGCCACACCAGCCAGGGCAAATAACAGCTTTATACCTTCCCTTCATCTTTGCTTATATTTGCACATAACAGAATTCATAATAGCTAGTGTGGAGTCTTTTTTTAAATTTAACTTTAGATGGAATTTGTAGGCTGTTTAGCTTTTATAATTATTCTGTTGGCTTCATAATGATTGAATTGATACACCATAACCATCTCCCTATTACTAGGCTGGAAAGGTTATTATTTTTTTTTTCAGTATTACAATAGGCACTGTTACCAATTTTTCTTATGGATTACTTCTTTAGGAGAAACCTGAGCCTGAAATTACTAAAGAGTAGAATATATTTTTACGACTAAGTTTTGTCATTTGGGGAAAATGTAATAAAATTAAAGGTGAGACAGACAAATTGACTTTCCTGCTCTTTCCTGCAGAAAACCTGTCTCCATAAAGTACTTTCTCGAATTTGAGAAACTCACGTTTTCCTTTTTTGGTACACTACTATATGAGCCAAGTTTTGACTTTACAGAGTTAAAAATTTATTTAATAATTTATTTCATAAATTAATCATTTAATTTATGATTAATCGCCTACCTTTGAGGAAACTGAAGTGTCTTTTTGCAAAGAAGAATCATTTTTAGGAGGAGTGATCTGGTGCTGGAGAGGGATCTCGAAAGCGTTTCTCTGGTTGAATTCGGCATTTCGGAAAGTCTTGATTATTGAGATACTGTAGCCCGTTGTCAACGGTCCTTTTTACCCTGTTTGATTCAGTCAGTAGTCCAGCAATTCCCGCCACATTCTTTTCCATACCCTGGGTACTCTAAAAGTTCGGAAATTTGAATCCAACTGCATTGAAGAATGCTTAGCGAAGAACCCGGCAAGGCTTAAAAGGTGTTTCCTCTCCGTTTATCTACAGACTGTAAGAATAAGATTTCGAGTTTCCAAAGAAACTAACACACGGATTAAATCACCAGTTTCAAAAAGTCAAACGGAGAAGTCTCTTTTCCATAAAATCCCTAGGTTTTGCGAGGAGTCCTTCACTTTTCCCGGGTTCATCTTCCGGTGCCGCCAATTACCTTGGGTCGATTCTTACTGCGAGGCTTCCATTGGGCGCAGAAGTCTTCTGTCCTAACATCGCGCTAGGATTGGTTGCTTGAGTTTTTTGCCTTAGCTTGTGATTGGTTGTTTCAGCTCGATTGACGATTGGGTGATGAGAGTCGAAGGGTGGGAGGCGGGAATTCGTCGGGAAGAGTTGTTGAGTACACTGCTGAGAACTAGAGGAGAGAAAAAATAATAATAAAATAATAAAGCGGCCCCAAGCCCGGGACCTGACCAGGGGAGTAGCAGCCCAGCTACGAAGAGAGAGGCGTGGGACCTTTCCTTGGTGCCAGGGCTCCGCTGTGTGTGCACGCCGATACCGGCTTCCTTTGATTGCGTGAATCGGAGCCCGGGTCAGCGTCACTTCGGTTCGCCTCAGACCAGGCAAGTCTGTCTCCCGTGGGGAGGATGCAAAGCCTGACACGAGGACCCTTTCTGCTTTCGCCAGCTTCCTAACAGGCCCGTCGGTGCTGTGGGGGCCACCCGAGCCTCAGAGATCTCCACTGGCCGAGGGAGGGGCGAAGCTTGAGGAAGAAAACCTGGGGCGGAGGGATCGTGTCTTCACCTGCCTGCGGCAAAGGCCTGTGATTAGTCCAGGGCTCCGCGTTAACTCTTGGCGGCAGGAGACGATCGATTTATTTTCATTTTTCATTTTGTTGGTTTTTCTTTCTTGATTCAATATTTGGGGGCAGCTACCCCATTTTGAGAGGCTTGCTTCCTCATTTGGGGCGGGGGATGGGTTGATTTCTAGGTGATAGCTGAGTCACTAGGGGTTAGATTCCTCCAGATCTCCTTTTCGGAGCTTCAGAGATAAAATCACAAAGTATTAGAACTAGACGATAGGATAAAATAATGCTTATTAACTTGTTTTGGAACACTTTAACCATCGTTAAAGTTATTACTGGCTTCATAATTTATGGAATTGCTGTTTTAACTCCATCTTCATCCCCAGATGGAATTTACCTTTTTTCCCCCACTATTGCAAATAATCAATCCCTCAGTTGATAAAACTTTGTATCATTTCCCTCTCTATTTTCGATTATTTACTTAGGCTATGTTTCTGGGAATGAGAACTCTATGGACTTTCTGTTCCAGAAAAATGCAGTTATGCACGGAAACTTTGCACGCGCTGTGAAGTGGTCCCAGTCCCTGAGCGACGTCTGCGGACCCTAGGTTAAGAAAGGGTGGTTTAGAAGATGCAGAGATTAAAGTGGGTCACTTCCTCTGTGTCAGATGCATTCTGTACATGGCCTTACTCTGAACTCAGTGCTTGGCCGATTGGCATAAAACCCCACCAGGCAGATAGTATTATCTCCATTTCACAGGCGAAGAAACAGCCTCAGAGAGATTTGCGGAGTGGCATTCGAACTCGGGTTGCCTTACTCCAAAGCGCCCTTCTTTCCCCTGTAGCATACTGACCTTTAAGAAAGAATTATCGAGCACCTACTTCTGTATGCTGGAGAGTTTTCCCCACCTTACAACAGTTTTTAAATGAAGGATCTTAGTCTAGAGAAATGAAGAGACCTTGTCAAGGTGACTTCTGCGATGTCACAATGGGATCTAGAAGCTCTGATCTTCACTCCAGGTCCCCAGCTTTGGCGGAGGAGGGAGACACACCCAGATCTGTCAGATTCCCAGACGTGCTTTCAACCCCTGTGATTGGTGAGACTGGGCGGTTCTTTTACTTCCATTTGCTTTAGATATTTATTCCAGTTTTTATTGCCAGATTTCAGTCTTAGTGTTGGGTATCTAGTTTTCCTTAGATGGCACTGTTTCAGTATTGATTTTCATTTGTGTTGCAGTTAGGAATCTGAAGTAAACAAGAAAGCATGATGTCTTCAGCATGGTCTGAATATACAATTGGTGGGGTGAGGATTAACTTTCCCTGTAAAGCTTACCCATCACAGCTTGCTATGATGAATGCTGTAAGTAGTTTTCAGCAGTTATTTCACATCTTTATTAAGATACATATGCCTGTAATTCATAACATATATCGAGTCTGAGACTACCTTTATTTTCTCAGATAGTAAATGGATGGAAAATGCTGGGTTCACTGAACATCTAACCTTTGGAAAAATAATACTGACCACTGCTAAACTGTCTGAGTCCATGGTTAGTTAGGAGGCAAAGGAGAACATTCTGAACAGTGTTCTCAGCTCATTTGGAACTTCTGCTCTACGGAATTACTGCTTTCTGCAAAGCGTTTACTATCTTTCACATAGAATACTTTATTTCTCATCATCATTTTTTGATACTTCAATTTTATAGGAAATTAAGAAACAAACTTGAGTAAACCAACTTTCCAGCTTTTTTATATCTTAATATTTTGCCATATTTACTTTATACCTTGTTAACAAGAAACAAGATTACTAGCATCCTGAATTTGTTCTTTTTTTTCCTAGCAATGTTTTAATACATTTATTATGTATGTATGTATCCACAAGCAGTGTAGAGCATTACTTTACATGTTTTTGAACTTTGCACAGTGATGTGACATTATACCTGTCCTGTGTAAAGTGTAAAACTTTTTTTTTCTTAACATTGTTTTTTTTTTTAAATATTTTATTTATTTATCTTTAGAGGGGAAGGGAAGGAGAGAGGGAGAGAAACATCAATGTATGGTTGCCTTTTGTGTGTCCCCTGCTGGGAACTGGCCTGCAGGGAACTGGTCTGCAACCCAGGCATGTGCCCTGACTGGGAATCGAACCGCGATTGTCTGGTTCGCAGGCCCGCTTAACATTGTTTATAAGATGTAGCCCTGTGGATTGTTGTGCCCTGACCGGGGATCAAACCTGCAGCCTTGGTGTATTGAGATGATGCTCTAATCAACTGAACTACCAGGCCAGGGCCTGCTATGAAACATTCTCATACAAGTTTCTTTGTGTCTGTGAGGAAAAGGTTTTGGGCATATTCATAGGACTGGACTTGGGTATCTTCAACTTTGCTAGAAATTGTTACTTTTTGTATAAAGTGCTTATAACAATTTATATTCCCACCAGCAACGTCCACTGTTAAGTTTTCAGGAATGATTTTAGTGTACTCTAGTTTTATTTATGTATTTAAGATTTTATTTATTTACTTTAGAAAGGGGAAGGGAGAGAGAAAGGGAGAGAAACATCTGTGTGTCGTGTCCTCTCGCACACCCCCTGCTGGGGACGTGGCCTGCAACCCAGGCATGTGCCCTGACTGAAAATTGGACTAGGGACTCTTTGATTCACAGCCCACGCTCAATCCACTGAGCTGCACCAGCCAGGACTACTCTAGTTTTAGAAATGATGGTGCTTGCATAATTAAAGCACAGATTGCTTTTTTAAAAATCTCTTTTGTGCTTGATAATGTTTTTACGTTTAACATAATTTTAGGAAGCTGTATAAAGGAATAAATTCTAGATTTAACTAAATACTAGTTCTCCCTTCAGCTATTGCTGTGTTCCCTGGAGTGCAACATTACTGCTCATGGTTGTTGTATTTGTACTTCTGATGGAGAGAGATCCTAATGAAGTGAACTGTTTATTGATTTTTTTTATTGTTTTTGTATCCACAGATTGTCAGAGGATTAAATAGTAAGCAACATTGTTTGCTGGAAAGCCCTACGGGAAGTGGGAAAAGCTTAGCTTTACTTTGTTCTGCTTTAGCATGGCAACGGTCTCTTAGCGGTGAGTAGTGGATTGCTGCTTGCAGGTGTCCTACCAGGACATGACGAGATAGAATAAAATATTTTTTATTCAGAATGATTCATTTGTATTCTAGCTACCTTAAGTATTCTCTTAAGTATTCTTAGGATGCTCCTTTATAAAAATGTTTACATATCTTCCAAAAGAGTTTCAGTATGGCAAAATATGTTCAATGAATCCCCAAACAATTTTGAACATAATATGGTCCTTTATTTGATAGTTCAGAGTATATCTAAATATACTTTTTATCAAAAAATTATTTTTATCAAAATAATTGTAATTTTTATGTAAAAGACATAGAGATGGGGCTGTCATGATGCTATAACATATAGGAATACATACATATTTTTTTTGGTAAATCTTTAATATACTTGCTTATCTATTCCTTTCTCATTACATTAACACCTGGAATATATACTAAAGAAAACATTCTAGTTGATCTTCCTCCTTGTTTGGATGCCAGATAAGTATTTGTTATAATATTGTTTTTATGAATTCATGTTATTTTTCATTACATTTGTTTTATTTGCTAACAAATGCCTAGTGACATTTATTTTTATGAAAGTCTAATGTACATAATCTAAAATACAATATTGAATACACTTCACTTACATAATTAGATTGCTTTGAACTAAAGCGTTAGCAGAATTTAAAGTTAATCATGGTTGTGCATGTGTATGTATATATATGTGTGTATAATGTTTTTAAAAGGAAATGTTTGTGTTGCTGATAAGACTATTAAATAATTAAAAATAAAAAGCAAATATTTGTAAGCTTTTGGTTTACTGATGTTAATCTTTGGGAAAAAGTGAAATTATCTGTTAATAACTTAAAATTTTAATGAGAGATTCTGGAAAATAAAATTAGTAGTATTTATGTAGTACAGATAGGAAATAATGTCAGTGCTCTTTAGAGAAAACAAAGTAAATTATTCAGCTCTTTAAAAATATCTATTAAACACATAGACATACAGTATAGACATTATAATTCAGTATTTAAGTGTTAAAAATTACCTGATTTATTTAATTTGAATATTGACCTTAAAATGTATTTTGATACATGTATCAGAATTGATAGCATCATGAAACATGTTTCTGTTTGACATAGAAGTGTAATGTGGGAATGAATTCTTTACTTTTACTAGATTTGTATGAATTATGTATATAATAAACTTCTCTATGTGTTTCTGGCATACATGTTTTTTTCCTGCCCAATTTGTTGCTGCACACAGGGTGACCGGATTGTCCATATTTGCCAGGTGCTTTCTCAGTTTCAGCACAGAAAATCCTGCACCCGGGATACCTCCGGATCCTGGGCGAGTTGGCGTGGCTGCTTACCCTACCTGCACAGAAAGATTGATGGTTTTTAATTTAGAAATATTATAACTAGAGGGTCTTTTATTTTTTTAGGAAAGCCAGTGGATGAAAGCTTAAGTAAAAAAGCTGAAGTACCACTGCCCTGTTGTTGTACATGCCATTCAAAGAGTTTTACAAATGATGACATGAACCAAGGAGCTTCGCATCATTTCAGTAGTCCTGGTACACCCCCTTCTGAAAGAAATGGCACTTCATCACCTTGGCGAGGTAGTTCACATTTTGCATGGGTCTGTGGGTATCTTAATAGAAGCCTTATTTAGTGCTATTATGAGACCTTATTTAGATATATTGGTTAGCATCATTGGTTATGAACTTCTACATATTTTCTACAGAATTATTTTTGCATAATTTAGAGAGTGATCAGAAATCCTTGGACTATTTTATTTTTCTCTTCATTTTTAATTTATTCAGACATTTTGCTAGCTTAAATGATTTTTTGAAGAAACCAAGGCAGAAAAAATGATAATCAGAAATTGATGTTCTTCGTAGGTAGTATTATTAATTACATGATAGATTTTTAAAAATATATTTTATTGATTATGCCATTACAATTGTCCTATTCCCCCTTCATTCCCCTCCACCCTGCACATCCCCCCCACCATTCCCCCCCTTTAGTTTATGTCCATGTGTCGTGTCTCAAGTTCTTTAGACTCTACATTTCCCCTACTATTCTTGCCCTTACCCTATCTATTTTCTACCTACCATCTATGCTACTTATTTTCTGTACCTTCTTCTCCCTTCTCCTCCCACTCCCCTGTTGCTAACCTTCCATGTGATCTTCATTTCTATGGTTATGCTCCTGATCTAGCTGTCCTCTTAGTTTGCTTTTGTTTTAGGTGTGGTTGTTAATAACTGTGAGTTTGCTGTCCTTTCACTGTTCATCTTTTTTATCTGCTTTTTCTTAGATAAGTCCCTTTAACATTTCATAAAATAAGGGCTTGGTGATGATGAACTCCTTGAATTGGATCTTATCTGAGAATCACTTTATCTGTCCTTCCATTCTAAATGAAAGCTTTGCTGGATAGAGCAATCTTAGTTGTAGGTCTTTGGATTTCATGACTTGGAATACTTCTTTCCAGCCCTTTCTTGCCTGAAAGGTCTCTTTTGAGAAATCAGCTGACAGTCTGATGGGAAATCCTTTGTAGGTGACTGTCCCCTTATCTCTTGCTGCTTCTAGGATTCTCTCCTTCATTTTAATCTTGGCTAATGTAATGATGATGTGTCTTGGTGTGTTCCTTCTTGGGTCCAACTTCTTTGGGACTCTCTGAGGTTCCTGGATTTCCTTTGCTAGATTGGGGAAGTTCTTCTTTATTATTTGTTCAAAAAAGTTTTCCACTCATGGCTGTTCCTCTTTCCCTTCTGGTACCCCTATAATTCGGATGTTAGAGCGTTTAAAGATGTCCTGAAGGTTCCTAAGCCTCTCCTCATTTTTTTGAATTCTTGTTTCTTCATATTTTTCTGTTTGGTCATTTTTTCCTTCCTTCTGTTCTACTCCCTTGATTTGAGTCCCAGTTTCCTTTCCATCACTATTGGTTTCCTGTGCATTTCCCTTCATTTCATTTAGTTTAGCCTTCATATGTTCCTCTAATTTGTGACTAAAGTCGACCAGTTCTGTGAGCATCCTGATCACCAGTGTTTTGAACTGTGCATCTGATAGATAGGTTGGCTATTTCTTGGTTGCTTAGAGTTATCGGCTCTGAGGCTTTGAGTTCTTCTTGAACCATGTTTTGGTCTGTTTGTGCCTGTTAGGTATGAGTGGCAGAGTCGTAGGTGTTCGCCAGGGTAGGGCCACCCAGGTCGCTGGGTTGTGATGCTGTATGTGGGGGTGGGGTCGAAGGGGGCAATGGTGGTCCCCTTTGCTGCTTCCCGCCAATAGGACCTGCACGGTCTGTCTCACTGCTCGGTCCTTTGCTGGTTTATCTGCTCATGAATGTGTGACCGCAGTCAGCCAGCCACCTTGCACCTTCACTGGGTCTGCCCGTCCCAACCCCACGCCTGGGATCTGCCAAACGCTGCCCATGCCCCTTATCTGAGGTCTGGCTGAGTTTACCTGCCTGACCCCGCTCTGCCAGTTGCTATCTCCCGCCCCTCTTACTAGTCTGGCTGGACAGTTCGTTGTTGTCGGACTTCCGTATAGTTCAATTTTCTGTGTTTTGGCTGCGTTTTTGTTACTAAAACTTCGTAACGTGGATGTGTGAAGAGGCACAGTGTTTCCACCTATGCCTCCATCTTGGCTGGAAGTCCTAATTATATGATAGAATTTTATAAAACATATTGATTTGTATTGTAACACAAAATCTAATTATCCTCATTTATTCTTTTTTTAAAAGAAATATTTTATTTATTTATTTATTTTAAAGACTTATTTATTTATTTATCTTTGGAGAGGAAGGGAAGGAGAGAAATATCAACGTATGGTTGCCTCTCGTGAGTCCCCTGCTGGGAACTGGCCTGCAACCCAGGCATGTGCCCTGATTGGGAATTGAACCAGCGATGTTTCAGTTCATAGGCCAGCGCTAAATCCACTGAGCCACACCAGCTGGAGCATGGCCTTTTTGGATTGAGTTAATTAGGTGTTCTGTTAGCTTCCTGGATTTGAGGATCCAGTTCTTTTCATAGATTTGGGAGTTTCTCACTGATTATTTGACTAGGCTATCTGCTCCTTCTCCTTCTCTTCTCTTCTGGTATATCCATTATTCTTATATTGCTTTTTTGTAATGAGTTAGGTAGTTTTTTTAAAGTATATTTTATTGATTATGCTATTACAGTTGTCTCAATTTCCCCCCCCCCCCCCCAATGTCTGGTACCACCCTTTCCTCCAGCAATCACCCCCCCTCCTTAGTTCATGTCAATGGGCCATGCATATAGGTTCTTTGGCTTCTCCATTTCCTATACTATTCTTAACCTTTCCCTTTCTATTTTGTACCCACCAATTATGCTTCTTAATCCCTGTGCCTTTTTCCCCATTTCCCCTCCCAGCTGATAAACCTCCAAATGATCATTATTTCTGATTCTATTCCTGTTCTAGTTGTTTGCTTAGTTTATTTTTGTTTTTGTGTTTTAGATTTAGTCGTTGATAGTTGTGAGTTTGTTGTCATTTTAATGTTCATAGTTTTGATCTTTGTTTTCTGAAATCAGTCCCTTTATCATTTCATGTAATAATGGTTTGGTGATGATGAACTCATTTGCTTTACTTTGCCTGGGAAGCACTTTATCTGCCCTTCCATTTTGAATGATAGCTTTGCTGGATAGAGTAATATTGGATGTAGGTCATTCCTTTTCACCACTTTGAATACTTCTTGCTAGTAAGTATTCTAGCCTATAAACTTTCTTTTGAGAAGTCAGCTGACAGTCTTCTGGGGACTCCTTTGTAGGTAACTCTCTGCTTTTCTCTTGCTGCTTTTAAGATTCTCTCTTTAGCCCTGACTGGTGTGGCTCAGTGGACTGAGTGTTGGCCTGCGAACCAAAGGGTTGCTGGTTCAATTCCCAAATGGGGCACATGCCTGGGTTATGGGTTAGGTCCCCAGTGGATCAACCACACATTGATGTTTTTCTCCTTTTCTTTCTCCCTCCCTTCTCCTTACTCTAAAAATAAGTAAAAAATAACATCTTAAAAAAATTACCTTTGGCATTTTAGTTGTGATGTCTCATGGTGTGGTCATCTTTGCGTCCATCTTGTTTGGGACTCTTTGAGCTTCCTGGACTTGTATATCTATTTTCTTTGCCAAATTAGGGAAGTTTTCTTCCCCAAAATTGAAAACTTATTTTTTGGAATAAGTTTTCAATATTTTGCTCTTCCTGTTCTCCTTCTAACATACCTGTGATTCGGATGTTGACTCTTGGAGATGTCCTAGTGTCTTATACTCTCCTTATCTTTTTCAATTCTTATTTCTTCATTCTGTTCTGGTTGAATGTTTATTTCTTCCTTATGTTCCAAATTGTTGATTTGAACCCCAGCTTCCTTCCCTTCACTATTGGTTCCCTGTAGATTTTTCTTTATTTCACTTAGTGTAGCCTTCATTTCTTCTCTTATGTGTTTGCTGTACTCAGTGAGTTTTCTGAGCATCCTTATCACCAGTGTTTTGAACCCTGCATCTGATAGGTTGGCTATCTCTGTTTTGTTACATTCTTTTTCTAGAGTTTTGCTCTGTTCTTTATTTCTTTTTCTCCTCCATTGGCAGCTGCCCTGTGTTTTGTTTCTGTGTAGTAGGTAGAGCTGCCTTGACTCCTTGTCTCAGCACACCTTGTTACATTGCAAGAGGTGGAGCCTTGGGTGTTTGCCAGGGCAGGGCTACCCACTTCGCTGCTTTGTGGCTCTGTGTTTTAGGGAGGGGTCGGGGAGGGGACAGTGTGGCTGCCTGGATGCTGGGGGCTCGCTTGGCACTCAACCCAGTCCAACCACTTTACCTCCTTCTTGTATGTGACTGGCACCCTTCTAGCTGTTGCCCTGGTGGTGCTTCCCAGAGTGGGTGGGTTTGCATATGTTCTAGGATGGTACGGGCCCTTTATTTATTTTTTTTAAAGATGATTTATTTATTTATTTTTAGAGCAGGGAGAGGGGAGGGAAAAAGAAGGAGAGAAACATCAGTGTGTGGCTGCCTCCTATATGCCCCCAACCAAGGACCTGGCTGGCAACCCAGGCATGTGCCCTGACTGGGAATTGAACCAACAACCCTTTGGTTCGTAGGCTGGTGCTCAGTCCACTGAGCCACATAAGCCAGGGCCTTGTGTGTTTTTTAAACGGACTCTCCTGAGACATTGGTCATTTCTTCCACCACTATAACCCTCACTGGAAGTTATGAGGTTTTCTTTTCCCAGCACTGGAACCCTGGGATGCACAGTCTAGCCTGGGGCTGGGATCTCTTGCTCTCAAGGTGCCCCTCCTGATTTCCATCTACCACACATGAATGTTGGGCTGTGAGTTCTGCTGGCCTCCACTGCTGCTGACTCACCGCCACCACACTGCGTCCCTTCCATCCCGGCTCCCTGTCTCTTGTCCCTCCTACACATCTGGATAAATATTTCTTCTTTAAATCTTTGGTTTTTGGACTTCCATACAGTTTGGTTTTCTGGCATTTCTTGTTTTGATGTTAGTTGTGTATAACCTTGTTGTGGTTATACAAGGAGGTGAAGTGTGTCTACCTATGCCTCTATCTTGACCGGAAGTCAAGTCAGATCGTCGTTATCGAGTTCTTTCTTTCTTTTTTTTTTTTCACTCTTGATTCTCTCTCTCTCTTTCCTGACTGATTTCTAGATTTCTATCTTCAGTGTCTCTAATTCTTTCCTCCATCTGGTCTGCTCTATTTCCTAAGTTTGCTAGTTCACTCTTCATGTCATTTATTGTGTTCTATCTCAGATTTTTTTTTTTTATCGTTTAAATCCCTTTGGCAAAATACTCCTTTTATTTGTTGATTTTATTTCTGAGTTTTCTTGTATCCTGTTAGTTTTTTCAGAACTGAAATCTTAAATTCTCTGCCATTTAAATCATAGTCTCCCAGGTATTTAAGTTTATTTTCTGGAGATATTTCATGTTCTTTCTGAATTCCCTTGTTACCTTGGTTATTCATTGTGTTTGATGGATTATTTCTGTGCCTTGGCATTTGTGGGAATGAAATATAGTGGCTTTCAAACTATGTTCCTATGAGTCTTAGGAAAAAACCTGGCTTGTAGGGGAAGGGAGATAGTGGTGGATCAAAGAAGTTCTAGGTCTTTCATCCTATTTTGGAAATTCAAAGCAATTTAATAAGAATATTATCCTCCAAAGAGTCTTGAAAAACCAATACTGTGTAGCATAGATTCATTTCTCTGTCTATATAGATAAACTTGTTTTTGAAAACAGTATTAGACTTGCTTATAGGGCTTTCTCCCCTGGTAGTCTGTAAGTCTTTTAAGGTTGCAAACTGTTCTTTTTCATTGTATTTCCATGGTGTCTGGAATTGTATGAACTTGATAAAATAAATGCTTGCTTGTGAAATGAATTTAAAGTAATATGTAGAGAAGAGCAAAGAGACAGTAACGTACTTTTAAGAACACATTTAGGGAAAGGGAGAAACTGATGTATAGGAATAGTTAACACTTTTACAGACATTAAGGAAAAAGGAAATATGTTTATGTTCCAGAAGACTGAGTGTTATGTTTGGCTTTATGCCTATAGGTTATGCTTATGGATTTTGGAGTCAGACAACAGAAGTTAGTCACGTCTAGGCTCTGTCTCTTACTAGCTATATGACTTCTTCAAAACCTAGTGTTCATCCCTTGCTGGTGTGGCTCAGTAGATTGAGCACTGGCCTGGGAACCAAAAGGTCCCTAGTTCGATTTCCTATCAGGGCACATGCCTGGATTGCAGGCCATGTCCCAGTTGGGGGTGTACAAGAGACTGATGTATCACTCACACACATCCATTTTCTCTCCCTGTCTTTCTCCCTTTTCTCCCCTCTCTCTAAAAATAAATAAATAACATCTTTAAAAAATAAAACCTGGTTTTTATATTTATAAAATGGGGATAATATTATTTGGTGATTAAGAGATCACTGATGACCTTGAGAATGACTTTTGAGGATTGTGAGATTAAAAGGTAGATTATACGTTTCACTATATTTTTAATCCTATGAAGATTGAGAAGTTTAGTAGGAAATGGACATTGAGACACCAAAGAAAGTTTTTTATAAAAATGAAACATTTTCTTGAATCTTACTGTTTTATATATGTGCTCATGTATATGTTTATACAGTATATATATGTTTATTCTCACCTAAGGACATGCTTATTGATTTTAGAGGGAGGGGAAGGGAGGGAGAAAGAGAAGGTGAGAAACATCCATGTGAGAGAGAAACATCAATCGGTTGCCTCTCAGAAGCACCCTGACAGGAAACAGACTTGCAGCATAGGTATCTGCCCTGACGATAGGTATCTGCCCTGACGGGGAATCAAATCTACTAATGTTCAGTTTGAAACTCCAACCAACTGAGCCACACTGACCAGGGCTTACAGTTGTATTTTTAAAAAATCACATTATTGGGAGTGGTCTACAAAAGTATAAACCTATTAAATCAATAGGACTTGCCTATTGAAAGCATGTTTTTTAAAATGTTTGCTGTATTTTTGTTGAAGTAAACAGAATGGTAAAGAAGTGCTTTTAAACATGTTTAGCAATTCATGTTTTTGAATATGTGGTTATATATTATTTTCAGAAATGAGTCTACACCTTGATTGTAATTTTTTTCTGGAAAAATTGCCTAAGTGTAAGTTATTTGTGCTATTTTTTTTATTTCTTCTGTAAGATTCTCCTGAAAAAACTACATTGGCTGCAAAGTTATCTGCCAAGAAACAAGCATCTGTATGCAGAGATGAAAATGATGATTTTCAAATAGAGAAGAAAAGAATTCGATCCTTAGAAACTACCCAGCAGGTGAATAGTTTATTGACAGTGAAATACTCCTCCATTAGTTACAGCTGAACAAGGCCGTCAAGTATCAATCTAGTTTTCAGTGGCACTTGTATATGTGACAGATACAGATGTTGGTTGCCCGTCACATACCCCCAACTGGGGACCTGGCCTGCAACCCAGGCATGTGCCCAGACTGGGAATCGAACCAGCAAACTTTCTGTTCTTAGGCTGGCACTCAATCCACTGAGCTACACCAGCTAGGGTGGTACTCTCTTATATACAAGGAATTTGATAGTAAAATATTTACTTATGGCATTTATTAATAATATAGCTACTTTGTACTTTTTAACTCTTCTCTTGTTTTTAACTAATAATGGCATATTTTTTTGGCCCAGGTCCTTTTGTTATTAATATTTATGTCATGGGTATTTTTGGTATTCATAGTGTAAGTACATTTACAAGGTTTACTCTTATTTATTGGGTTTTTAATATTAGTATATGAGAAAATATGTTTATTCCTAAAAATTATTGAAAAACCTCAATTATTAGATATTTTAAATGACATGTACTTTTCATAGATGAATACTATGGTTTTTAATAGAGTTGATGTCAGTGAGATAGGGAGGCTAGGACCCTAATAGACTTAGTTACAAAAAATGATTATTAATTAACATGTCATTTATACATAAATGTATATTTTTAACTGAATATATTCAATGTGCTTACATTCTTATGTAGTCTATTTATTCTATGTATAATCTTTAACTTCCACAATTAAACTGAGGTTTTAGAAATAGGATAAACTAATTTATTTTTGGAAAAGCACCAATTACAAATGAACCATGACTCTTTAGAGATTTTTTTCCCCAGTAAATGTGTACATAAAGTTGGCTGTCTGAGGTGGGGATGAACATACAACGTTCACTCCCTGATTTCATTGGGTCTCATTTCTATTTCAGTAGGAATGGGGTCATCAATAGAAATGCCACCCCCTGACTTTATAATTTAAGTAAACAGGGTTTTGGCAAGTAGGAAAAAGCACAGACAGTTTGTAAAGAGAACTTCGTGTTATTTATGAAAGAAATTTAGTCAAATACAACTTGGATTATCAACTATCTAGTAAGTAGTAGTAATAATAATAGTAATCAGGTAATTTATTCTATCATGTAGGAAATTATGAGTTTTACATTTAAAGTTTTTATTCTGAGTCTTTTAATTAGAATGAGGTTTCCATTTTATTTGCTTTTGTTTTTTAATTAGATACATAATTTGTAATTTGCTCTGATACATATTTGGTATTCATATGGTAGAACTATTTTATGGGAAGATCATTTTTCAGTACTGTAGTTTTGACATATCATTAATTAAAGCTAATTTGATTAGGATTCCAGAGGTATTACTGTATTCAATTTAAGTCTTGTAATGAGGTGTCTATTTGTGTTTTTAAAAATTATTTGATTGTTGCCAGTTAGAAATAGTCATTTTTTTAATGCTAAAAACACAGTTATAGCTATTTTGACCTTGGAGAACAACTAGGCTGCTCAAACTTTTAGTTTACTATAACTTTATTTTCATTTTGTGTTTACAGATTAGAAAACGTCATTGTTTTGAAAAGGAAGTACACCATTTGGATACAAAAGTTGTCTCAGGAAAGACCACAAAACTCAGCTCCCCATTAAGAAAGATAAACTCCTTTTCTCCACAGAATGTATGTATTTATGCCATTGTCCTGTTTAAAGAAGGAGAATGTGGAATGTGCTAAATCTGTTGTTGAAAAAAGAAGAAGAATACTGTAATGCAGAGAACAGTATAAAACAACTCAGAAGTCCTAAGAGCTATCATGTTTCCACTCTAAAATCACAGAGTGGGACTTGAAAAAGATCTGAATGTCCTCTGCCTCTTCAAACAGGGGTGTCCAACCTGCGGCCTGCGAGCTGCATGCATCCCAGGTTGGCTATGAATGCAGCCCAACACAAAATCATAAATTTACTTGAAACATGAGATTATTTTTTTGTCATGACATGTTGCAGTGTGTTTACTGTGTGGCCCAAGGCAACTCTTCCATTCTGGCCTAGAGATGCCAAATGGTTGGACACGCCCGTGTGAATCCCACTTCCCTAAAGTTTTGTCAGTGTCCTTAGAGCAGCACTTCTCAAGAAGTAGTGGTGCGGCTGCGTCATCGTACTGTCTGTATTCATCCGTGCACAGTTCAGCTGTCCACTGGGTGCTTCTGGAGGGACAGTGTGGGCAGGGAGCGGCCGCCTCACTGCCCACCATCCCCAGGCCCTGGCTGCCTTTGAGGACAACCTGCAGGGCATGACAGTGGACTCGGAGTGCTCTGGGTTGGAGGGGAGGAGCTCTGGAGATTCTTGAGATATTTTTCGGTACTCTGTGAGGGCAAAAGTATTTTCATAGTGATATTAAGATGTTATTTACCTGTTTTTTACTGTCTTGACATTTGCACTGCTGAGCAGAAGCAGTGTTGGGTAAAGCTGTTGGTGCCGCAGCACAATCAAGGTGGTGGCATCAACCTGTACCAACAGTAGTTTTCTCCACCATCATTAGTACTCAGTTTAAAAAGGCCGGTTTTACTTAAGAATGTCCTTGATGAAGCAGTAAAAATTACTAATTTTATCAAATCTCAGTGCTTGAGATGTTTAACATTCTGTGTGAATAAATGAGTGATACTCATACAACACATTTGCACAGGAGCAGGGTGGGCGTCTTGAGGAAAAGCACTGGTAGGGTAGTTTGGATTATGAGACGAACTAGCCAGTTTTTTTCATGGAACATCATTTTTACTTGAAAGAATGACTTGACAGAAAATGATGGTAATTATTTTTTTATAGCTATAGTCATTTTTTATTATTCTTTTTCTGTTCTTTTTTTTTTCAAATTTTTCTTTTTTAAAAGTAATTTACATTTTTCGGTTAAAGTTGACATACAATATCATATTAGTTTCAGGTGTACAACCTAGTGACTCGACATTTGCATAACTTATGAAGTTGATCACCCTGATAAATCTAGTATCCATTTGACACTATACAAAGGTGGGCAAAAGTAGGTTTACAGTTGTAATACAAATAAATAATACAAGAATAAATTCTGCATTTTGTATACTCACAACTGTAAACCTACTCCCCCTTTGTATAATTATTACAGTATTATATTCCCTATGCTGTACTTTACATCCCCATGGCTATTCTGTAACTACCAATTTTACTTCTTAATCCCTTTACTTTTTTTTTTTTTGTCACCTCCTAACTCCCCTTCCATCTGGTGACTGTCAAAATGTTCTTTGGACCTGTGAGTCTTTCTGGTCTGCTTGTTCATTTATTCAATTTTTTAGACTGCGTATACGGTAAGTGAAATCATATGGTATTTTTTTTCTCTGGCTTATTTCACTCAGCACAATACCATCTAGTTCCATCTATCTTGTTGCAGGTGGCAAGATTTCTTTTTTTTTTAATGGCTGAATCATATTCCATTGTACATGTGCACCACTTCTCTATCCATTTATCTTATTCATGGACACTTAGGTTGCTTCCATATTTTGGCTATTGTAAACAATGTTGCAATGAACCTAGGTGTGCATATGTCTTTTTCAACTAGTGTTATTTTATTTTTCAGATAAATACTTAAAAGTGGAATAGCTGGGTTATATGAAAATTCTATTCTCAATTTTTTGAGGAATCTCCATACTGTTCCCATAGTGGCTGTGTACTAATTTACATTTTCACCGACATTGCATGAGGGCTCCCTTTTCTCTGTATCCTCTCCACTACTTGTTGTTTCCTGTCTTTTTGATGATAGCCATTCCAGCAGGTGCAGCCACAGGTTTTATTTCATGACTATGGACTAGTTTTCATTTCCATAGTGTTACATATAGTGGTCCTTAACCATTGTTCTGATTTTCAAGGTTACTGTTGTCCATGGTCAGTTGCATTCCAAAAATGGAAAATTCCAGAAATAAATGGTTCATGAGTTTTAAATTGTGTGCTCTGCTGTGCTCCACTTGGCCCCAACTGGGATGTGAATTTTCCCCTTGTGCCTTGTTTCCGTGCTGTGTACACCGCCCACCTGTTAGTCACTTAGTGGATGTCCCGGTTATCAGAGTAGTTATTGGTATTTTGAGAGGGAGAAAAAGTCCATATTCACATAACTTTTATTACAATATATTGTTTTAGTAGTTCTTTTTTTATTATTAGTTATTGTTATTAATCTCTTACTGTGCCTAATTTATACATTAAATTTTATCAGAGGTATGTATGTATAGGAAAATAACAGTATATACCGGGTTTTGTACTCTGTAGTTTCAGACATCCAGTGGGGGTCTTGGAACCTGTATTAAGGAAGACTGCTGTAAAAGGAATTATGCTTGGTAATTTTTAAATAATCTTTTTATTTCTTTAAAGAAGATTTTATTTATTTTATAGAGAGGGGAATGGAGGGAGAAAGAGAGGGAGAGAAACACCAATGTGTGGTTGTCTCTCATGTGCCCCCTACTGGGGGGCTTGCCCACAACCCAGGCATGTGCCCTGACTGGGAATTGAACCAGCGACCCTTTGATTCACAGGCCGGCACTCAATCCACTGAGCCACACCAGCCAGGGTGGTAATTTTTTTATATTTTATTTTTTTATCAAAGTTTCTAAAATTAAAGTATAGTCGACATACATTATTGTTAGTTTCAGGTATACAACATAGTACTTCAGCATTTATATACCTTATGATGTGACCACCATGCTAAGTCTATGACCATCTTCACTGTACAAGGTTATTACCATATTCCCTATGCTGTATCTTACATCCCTGTGACTTATTTTATAACTAGAAACTTGTACCTCTTATTCATCTTTACATATTTCACCCATATCTCTGTCTCCCTCCATGCCTGGGAATTTTTTATTGAGTTCCACATACAGCCATTGTTGCTTAATGATAAAGATATGTTCTAAAAACATCATTGGGCCATTTCATCAGTGTGTGAACATCATAAAATACACTTACCACCTATGTGTTGTAGCCTGCTCCACACCTAGGCTATGTGGTATAACCCGTCACTTGCAGGCTACAAGCTTGTATCACATGTCGCTTTATAAAACAGCACGAGATTAAATCAACCACAGAGAAAGTGATGCAGTCAGGAGACACGACATGGATGAGGTTTTACTAACATAATATGGCATGCTGTTTTAAGCAAACGTTTTTTTATAATTAGAAAAGTATACTCTAAAATAATGATCAAAGTATAGTATGGTAAATACACTAAACCATAACATAATGGTTTGTCATCATTAACAAGTGGTGTGTGCAGTACATAATTGTGTGTGCTGTGCTTTCAAATGACTGCAGCACAGTAGGTTTGCTTACGCCTACATCACTGCAAAGATGGGGATCAAGTCATGCTTTCTGATGTTACCGTGTCACTAGGCAGTGGGAATTTTTCAGCTCCACTGTAATCTTATGGGACCACCACCGTGTATTGTAATCTGTTGTTGACTGAAATATTAGGCAGTGTGTGAATGTATTGTGAATTTTACCTTTTTGGGTGCTGGATGTTATTGTACTGTATTTCTGTAAATACTCCTGAGTTTTGTTCTGGAATACAGTTAAGTTTCTTTGAATCGGTGTGATCCTTTTGGGTCTTGTTTTTAGGCTTTGTTTGTTAGGTGGGACCTGAGCGGGGTTTGGTTTGGGGCTCAATGGAAGCTGGCTCCTGTTGAGTAATCTACCTAGTGCTCCATGAGTTGGGAGATTTTTCTAGCCTGTCTGGGAGGAGCAGGTGCTATTCCATGCTCTGTGAGAATGCCTCATCTTTTCAGGTGGTTCTTGCTACTGTTTTGGATTATTTTCTCATTGGCTTGTGCTAATCAGTACTCTATCAGATACTCTGAGAGGTCCCTCTGCAGATCTCTAGGGTTCATTTGTGCAGATCTCCCCACTCTGGTATTTGTCCCTGTGAACTTCAGTCTTTGTGGTCTCCCTGGACTTGCAGCAGTCAGTGTCTCTGGAACTCAGGGCTACTGGGCTATGTCTGGATTCCCCTCTTCATGCTATAGACTGGAAACTCTCAAGACGACACGCTGAAGCAGTCACAGGGCCTATCTCATGTTTCCTGTCTCTCAGGGATCACTCTTCTGTACTTGATGTCCTGTACCTTAAAAACTATTGTGTTACATATTCTGTCTGAATTTTTGGTTTTACAAGTAGGGGGTGAGAAAACATTAGGTTTGGGAACAAATTTCAAAAGTCTTTAGATGGCTTACAAAATTACTATTTATCTGTTCAGTGTTTAGGCCTTTATAAACTTTTTGCATTCTTTTGCCCTTTCTCCTCTTCCCACTCCTTTTTTTCTGACCGTTGTCATAGTTGTGAGGTGATATCTCATCGTGGTTTTGATTTGCATTTACATGGTAAGTGATATTGAGCATCTTTTCATGTACCTATTGGCCACCTGTAGTCTCCTTTGGAAAACTATCTATTTAGATCTTTTTACAGATTTTATTTATTTATTTTTAGAGAGAGGTGAAGGGAGGGAATAGAGAGGGGGAGAAACATCAATGTATGGTTGTCATTCACGCAGCCCCCACTGAGGACCTGGCCTGCAACCCAGGCATGTACCCTGACTGGGAATTGAACTGGCAACCCCTTGGTTCACAGGCTGGTGCTCAATCCACTGAGCCATAAGAGCCAGGGCTGTACCTTT